ATATCTTTGGAACCAAATGTTGTAGACCTTAGAAATTTCAAACTATGAATTCTGTTAGATCAAATATTCTGAATTTTAAATATCAAAGGTTTACAACATCAGGTTCCAAAGGTTTGAATATTTGAGTTTGTGCCAAAGACTCAATTCCTTTATTAATTGACTGTAAGAAAAAATAGAAAAATAGAAAATAGAATACCTTTATTACATCTTCCATCATGTTATAAGCATCTAATATGTCGAGGTCTCGTTTTTGCAAAAGTTTTAGTTTAAAGTATCTTAAAATTTTGTGTTAACAGTGAATTTAGACAATTCCTTAGTCTACACAGTTTGTTTTTAATCTTTGTGAAGAAACAATCTCAAGGAATAATAATTGTCTAAAAACATTTTTTAGAAAGTGAATATTTGCAAATTATCTTTTCCCATCTCATAATCTGAGTTCTTTTCCCTTATGTCCATTTGACAGGCCAAATTTTTATTTTGAATAATCTTTTTGTTTGTTTATATTCTTGTGATTTTTACATTTTTTTAATTTTTTTTAATCGATTTTGATGGTTATTATATCGTTAGAACTGACGAGGGGCAACCCAGACCAAAATACATTTTCAATAAATGTGGAACTAACATCTACTTTTTTACTCTACAGAGGTTTGGTCCATCACCATCACTGAATTTTAAATCCTTAGTGTTTGTCATTGTCAGGTGTTACGTTTTAAATTTGTTTCTTTTTAATTTTGTATTTTCCAGGGGGGGGGCAAGAGGACCACTGCCCCCTCTGTGTACGCCACAGAATGAAGACGACTTTTGATTTCAGTTTTTGGTTCTTTACCAAGTTTCCAAACAGCATAAATGCATGAAAAGATGGAAACAAAGAGAATTAACTTGTAAAATTGTTATTGGAAAACTTAAACACTAAACAGTACTTCTCAAAAATGTTCAAAACTTCAGTTAACAAATCCAACTCGACATGCTGCCAAGCACTGCAAACTAGACAGGAGAAGGTCAAATTTATGCAACAAGACTGATGGTACAACTTTGTGACCTGATACCTCCTCTAGTTTGATTTTACGAACAAGAGTGAGAAAAACTAATGTCTTTGTTTATATATATTACAATTTCAAAACATTTTTGTTCTTCTCAATAGTTTGTCAATAAGAGAGTTTTGATTAAAAACATATAAGAGTCCAATTTTACATGCAATTTACTTTAGTTTAACATACAAGGAGTGTACGTTTAAACGGCTGGACCAAATTAAGTGACTTACATTTTTTAGGGGTAAAATTGGCTAAACAAAATAAATTTTTTAAAATGTTTTTAAAATTTAACTGGCAACGACGGGCACTCCAGTTAGTAAAATTTAAAATAACTAAATCTAAAACTAAATAATAGTTTTAATTGTATGCTATTCTTGACATATACATAATGGAAGTTTTATCTCACCTTCCATTTGAACAATTAACTGTATCTCTGAAACCTTAATCAGATCAATTTGAATAAAATATCGTTTTCGGGCTTAAAAAGTGTTGTTTTCTGATAGTTTCTCCGCTGTTTTTGGAACAAGCTATGCGCAAGGCACATATGCACCGAAACCTAAATTTTCACAAATGAAAATAATCTGTTTTTAAAAACAAGAACCATCTGTATATTACTAGGGTTTTTAGCAAAATGGGGGAAATTGTTTCGCTAAAATTTCGTATTTTTTGCAAACCCAAATTACTTGATCAGACAATGGTTTCTTAAATCAGGAAGATCAGACTCACAATCAGCTGGAAACTGAAAGTAAAATAACATTTGCCCCTATCCATAGAAAATACACGTGGGCATCAATGTAAAATATAAATTAATAAGGTTTTGATCGCTACAAATTTCACTTCTATCTGTTGCGCGTATTTTTACAGTTTTCATATCATAATCTTCAATTTTTTTGGACCACGATTATTCGGATTATAGATAGATGATTGATGATGATAGATGATTAAAGAATTGGTAATGTGTGGAAATCCACAACCAAATGTTTGCAGTGTTATCTCCGTACAAAAGCCTCCATGAGGAAAATATTGAAGAAAAATACCTTCAAATTTACTGTCTCTGTAACTTTAATAAGATAGGTTCCTGGGAGTAGTGTTTAAACCTTGGTTGTCTTATGACTGAAGATCCCATTGATATTGACTTTTATAACTCTTCAAAGTAGTTGAGTTCAGTTGAGAATCCTTCCAAGTAATTGAGGTTGGTAAAGAATCCCTCAAAGTAGTTGTGGTATATAAATAATCCTTCAAAGTATAGTTGATGTCAGTGGAGAACCCTTCCATGTAGTTAAGGGCAGTGGAGAACCCCTCAAAGTGGTCGTATTTGGTAAGATTCCATCAAAGAAGTTGATGGCAGTGGAGATACCATCAAAGAAGGTAACAGAGATTCAAGGAAGTTGAGGTATGAGGAGAATCCCTCATTGCAGTTGAGGTGGTTTAAAATGAGGAACTTGGAGAACCCTTCAAGGAAGTTGAGGTAGGAGGAGAACCCCTCATTTGCAGTTGAGGTGGTTGAAAATGAGGAACTTGGAGAACCCTTCAAGGAAGTTGAGGTAGGAGGAGAACCCCTCATTGCAGTTGAGGTGGTTGAAAATCAGGAACTCGGAGAACCCTTCAAGGAAGTTGAGGTAGGAGGAGAACCCCTCATCGCAGTTTAGGTGGTTGAAAATCAGAAACTCGGAGAACCCTTCAAGAAAGTTGAGGTAGGAGGAGAACCCCTCATCGCAGTTTAGGTGGTTGAAAATCAGAAACTCGGAGAACCCTTCAAGAAAGTTGAGGTAGGTGGAGAACCTCTCATTGCAGTTGAGGTGGTTAAAATTCAGGAACTCAGAGAACCCTTCAAGGAAGTCGAGGTAGGAGGAGAACCCCTCGAATAAGTTGAATCAGATGAAGATGGTAGATGGAAACAGTAAGGTAATGAGGTAGGTGGAGAATTCTTCAAAGTTCTGGAGGGTGGTCCAGATCTACAGGCCATAAATATAATGAGGGCTTGAGTTTTTGGAGTATGGCATATTTTGCTTTAAATAGTCATTCTAAATAAAATAATCTTTTAAATTTGAAAATCACGCAGATCTGCCCCTTTAGTAAAAGTAAGTTCAACCTATATGAAGCATACGTCTGACCGCGTTAACCTTGTTGCACCGGCTAGTCCTGTCCATAGAGCTAGGTACAGTAAAAACTAGGACCGGAAAGGTTAACCCGGCTCGGAAATTAAAATGTACTACGGCTGCTCGTGAAATATTTCATAAGTAGATTTTTTTTGATATTGACAAATTGAGTCTTTGCCCTGAACTCAAATTTTCGAATCTCTAAATATCTTTGCAACCTGATATTGCAAACCTTTCAAACTTTCATTAATTAATTTAGCAGAGTTTGAAATATTTCAGGTATACATTTGGTTTCAAAGATGTAGGGATTACAAATCATACTATAAGTGGCAAAGACTTAATTCATTTATGATTACTTAATTTTAAGTTTAACATCATCGTCAGTCCAATGTACAGCAACTCTTATGGTTAATTTGCTATTATTATTTTGACAAATTATGGAGTATTATTAGAAACATTTCAGAGGGCTAATATTGTTTTCTTTGTGAAATCCCTTTAGTCTAGAAATCTACCTTTATTTGATCTTTTAACTGTTTCAAAGCCATTTGTTAGAAATTTTTTATTAGTTTTGCAAATAATCTTGGATAAAGGTATAATTATGGTGATTATTATGCAACTTCTATGATTTAAACACATTAAAAGGCATATAGACATATATTTAAATACTTGAATTTAATTAAACATACAGAGTAAAAATCAAAGAAAAGTTGAGAGATTGTTTTTCTTCGTATGTTTAGAAAATTTCTGCGTTGTGTAGAAATCATTTATTTTTTAGCTTTCATGATTATAAAAATCTTTGATCTTATTTTTAGCATAAGTTTAAGAGTTATATGCCCGACTCACAAAGGATGCCCTTTAAACCCTTAAATGATGGAGATATTCTTATTTTTCATATGAATAGGTGCAGCGGAGAAATCGACATAATTGTTATCTTTTGACGAGATAAAGGTTTAAAGGGGACAGTTTTAAATAAGACATTCAACTGTTTAAAAATCACTCTTAAACTTAAAAATTCATGGTTTTAAAATAAAGATTACAATAAATATTACATTGAATTTTGTACAATTTTATATTTTGAACAAAATGGTAATATTTCAATTTTGAACTTTTTTTGCATAGTTAAGTTTATATTTTCAAAGAAACTAAGTTCTTGTTTAAAACTCAAATTTTCGAAACCCTATATCCTTGTAGCCTGATGGTGTAAAACTTTGATATTATAAACTGAAACTGTTTAATAATTCATAGTTTGAAATATCAAAGGTCTAAGACATCGGGTTTCAAAGATAAAGTGATTACAATTAGAGTTTGAGGCAAAACATTTTTTCCCTTGCCTTTTTAAGTTTTTTAAGGTTAAATTGCATATATAAATTATCTACACCATGCTAAAGGTAAATAGATCGGCCGAGGACATTTTAGCTGCTTTTTAAAATATTTTTTATAGTTAGATAGATAAACGAAACGGACACATAAAGGAACGTTACGAAATTTTCGTTGAACGAAATTCGCGAGATTTTTGCAATAGTGACAAAAGAAATTCGTCAACGAACTTTTCGACATAATTTTCGCGATAATTTCGAATTTCGTTCAATTTCGTGAAACTGATATTTAACTTTGGAGAGATCAAATTTAACATATTGTATATCAACGGGTAAGAAACAAGCAAACATACAAAAATCAGTGATGTCAGTACATTTCCACATCACGGATGTGATGCAATCGAACGAGAAACATCTATTATATATTATATTTTTTAACATTTATATTCACTGGTATATGTTTTGATATTTTTTAGTTTAAAATAAGCCCATTTTGTTGCAATAAGCATTGTAAATTTTTATATGTTATAGATAAAAATTTTAAAAACAATACATTTAAACATAATTTATTTTTTATTGAGTTATTGTAATATATCAATAATGGTAACAATTTTCCCCGAAAATTTTTTCATTACATAAAATGTAATATAATAGATTTGAAATGTTTGTGTATGTCGATAAATCATATATTAATCTATCTCTATTTTCTTAATCTGATCTACATGGTCCTGAATGCAACCTGAAAATAAATTACAGTGAGAACTGCATGGAATCAAGTTATTACTAAAAAAAGTCCAATAAGCATGAGACACAACACAATTGTGCAGTGTACCCAGACCCATTACACTAAATTAGTGATTTAATAATTATTTATAGTAAACATTAAATACACTTAAGTATTAACGTAATGTCGTCTAACTATTCTATTGTTTTCTGGTTATCACTGTGGTATCGCATAAATATCAACTACTAAAAACTATTGACAGCCATTAACAATTATCTGCGATTATTTAGTTTTTAAGATTATGGTATTTTTGCCTTTAAACACCATGGAGAGCACATTTTTTCTCATGAAGCAGTTGAACCGGCCGCGTAGACGTTGTTAAACCACTTTTCTTGTATTCAAGTAGAAGAAGAGAAGTAGCTCAATTTAGCCAAGGTAATTCAACTGCTTTTACAAAATCTGGTCTAGAATTGGATTCCCCTATTCTAAATATCTACAGTGGAAAGGAATTGGATACCCCTAATCTAAATATCTACAGTGCAAATTTTTAATCTTATTATTATTCCTTTCTTTTGAATGTTACTGCTGGGTTCCGACCAATGCAAATTCTATCATTGATTGTGCGCAAAAGGTACTGAGTCTTTGCCGCAAACTAAAATTTTCTAATCCCTATATTATCTTTGCAACCTTGGGATGTAATCCTTTTATATTTAAAACTAGATTATATGATCTAACCGAATTCTTAGTTTGAAATATCTAAAGTCTACGACCTTCAGCTGCAAAGATACTGGGTTTCAAAAATCAGAGTTTGTGACAAAAACTCAATTGGTTGGCTTCTAGTTAGCTGTTCGGTTCATGATACTCTGATTCATTTGAAATTTAGACACTTTCGTGAATATGAAAATAAGGTTTATTACTCGCAGATTAACAAAGAGAGTATTCGAGATCAAGCATTCATCTTGATATCCAGAATTCTAAAGTTTTCAGTTCTGAGCTGAAAACTGGTGGATACCAGGATCAATGCTTGATCTCCTCTTTTTCTTAATCTTCAGATTAAATAATGCTTATTCTCCCCTTATTATTTTACCTAGAGATTAATAACAAGAGAAGAACAAGCATTATTGAATATCAAGATTAAGAAAAAATAGTGGATAAAGATTAAGGATATCACATTCTAAAGTTTTCAGCTTGGGATACTCAAGTGTCGGCGAAACATAGTTTTGCTGATTTTTAAAGAAAACTTTGACAGCACTAGTATAATACTAACCTAGGGTTGCGTAGTTATCAATATTTATATTCTCCTTGCACTGTTTACAGTAGAGCTTGTTCACTAAATAGATTATTTATTAAAAACTATCTTAGAATAGATAAAATATACTTTTGTTTGTCTGTCTGTTGGTTTGTTTTGTTAAAACGTCAAAAACACTGAACCGCGATTGGACCAACAATTGTTGCGGGGTCGCAGGGGCCCCATAAATGACTCCAGAAAGGTTTTTTATCGGGGAAAAGTTAAAAAGGAAGTTTCCGTTTCAGACTTTAAGATGGAGGTGTCAGACTTTAATATGGGGGTGTCAGACTTTAAGATGGGAGTGTCAGACTTTAAAATGGGGGTGTCAGACTTTAAGATGGGGGTGTCAGACTTTAAGATGGAGGTGTCAGACTTTAAGATGGGGGTGTCAGACTTTAAGATGGAGGTGTCAGACTTTAAGATGGGGGTGTAAGACTTTAAGATAGAGGTGTCAGACTTTAAGATGGGGGTGTCAGANTGGGGGTGTCAGACTTTATGATGGGGGTGTCAGACTTTAAGATGGGGGTGTAAGACTTTAAGATGGGGGTGTCAGACTTTAAGATGGGGAGTAAGACTTTAAAATGGAGGTGTCAGACTTTAAGATGGGGGTTTCAGACCTTAAGATGGGGGTGTAAGACTTTAAGATGGAGGTGTCAGACTTTAGATGGGGGTGTCAGACTTTAAGATGGGGGTGTCAGACTTCTGATTTCAAATCACGTCAAACTAAAGTTAGTTTCACGTAAGGATGAAGTTTTATGTGTTTTTTAGATGTGTCAATAAATAAAATTGTATTTCTAATACTTGCGCGAAAAATCGAAACAAGAGGAGCTATGAGGTCACAAAGTCGTAACACTAAATTTGACCCTCTCCTATTTTATTACATTTGTGATTTTATTCCTTCAACCCGATAAACTTGTTTCACAAAAGAAGATAAAAGAGCTGATATAGATTTTTTTAAATGTTAGAATTGATATTTTGAAAAATAATGATTAGTTGATTGACAAATAAATTACCTTGCAAAATAAGATCGAGTTCCTTTGTCATCTGCTTTTTATTCTCCTGAACAAAATATATACATTTTTATTTATAATATTTTTGATTGGAAAAGTTTTAGGTGATAATGTTTGCAATGGAAAATGTTTTAAAGGGAAAATGTATTGAGAGAAAAAGTATTTTCCAGGAGAAATGTTTTCGAAGTGAAAAGCTTTTCCAGGGTAACTGCTTCCATCAAAGCATGGTTTTCCAATGGAAATGTTTTCAGGAATAATTTTTCTCTTTAAAATGTTTTACAGTTGAATGTTTTTCCAGGATAAATGTTTTACATGAAAAAGGTTTTACTGTGGTACTGCTTCCATTAGTGAGAAATGTTTTACGACGAAAATTTTTTTATAACGAAAAGTTTCCATCAGAAATGTTTTCCAAGTTTTCCAACGGAATTGTAGTTGAACTAGTAACCCTGAATAACCTCTGTTTTATAGGGTTACCCACATCAGAGGAAACTGTACGGAGTGCAAAATATCTGCTTTCATATATTCATGATTGCCTGCAAATGCAAATGTAAAGACAAAAACCTTAAGGTAACCTTGGAAATATAGTATTTTAAAAATGTCAGGTCGTCTTTACAGTCTCATCCTTTGTGGATAACCTTGTATCATACCATATGTTTATCTCTTTTCTTTATAGCTTCCTCCAAAGGTTTCTTCTTTTTAGCAATTTGCTCTCTAAGATCTTCAACTTGGTCTATTTTTCGCTTCCTAGATCATGTAATTACAATATTGATAATTATAATGATAATAATAATAATAATAATAATAATAATAATAATAATAATAATAATAATAATAATAATAATAATAATAATAATAATGATAATAATAATGATAATAATAATAATAAAAATAATAATAATAATAATAATAATATTAATAATTATAATGGTTTATAAAAAGATTAATTAAAAAAACCTGCAGTTTTGAGCAGCAACTTTGTTTTTTCCTCTTCGTCGCACATCCCTGAAAATTTAAGGGGTGGAACTTGTTTACTCATATAGGATCCAGGAACTGTAAACATTGTAAAAAAATGGCATGTCCGATTTACAACGCTACTCTTAAAAAATGAATTAGATATTCAATATCCATTTTTATAATTTGACAAAAAATATTATTTTTAATTGTGGGTTCACTACAAAATTTAATTGCGCATTTCTACTGCGGGAAGACAATGTAGAGGAATTATCAGATAATCAGAATTATTAATTATTTTTCAAGCAAGAAGCAAGACTTAATTTTTTTTTCTCTTTTTTGTTTGTTATGATTTAAAAAAAAATTGCCCGCATTTTGAAAATCTAAATGTAAAATTTGGTTTTCTGTAAAGGAATGGATTGGAAAAGAAAGAATCCACTGTGCACTGTACAGCTGTATGGTGAATAAATCTATCATTAAAGGAATTGAGTCTTTGCCATAAACTCTGATTTTCTAGTCACTATATCTTCGGAACCATATGTTGCAGACCTTAGATATTTCAAACTATGAATTCTGTTAGATCAAATAATCTGAGTTTGAAATATCAAAAGTTTACAACATCGAGTTCTAAAGATATTGTAGTTTAAATATTTGATTTTGTTCCAAAGACTCAATTCCTTTATCTACTTTAACCTGTTTGTCCTTTCTTCTGATATCCCTTCCTTACACAGTAATCAGCAAATTCATCCATAGGCATACTACACCACACAACCTTTATTTACTTCCACTTCAAGAAGAAATCGTAGCCTTTGAAACGTCGGCTTTAGCCAAAATAAACTCTGTATATATATTTATACTATCAAAAAATGTACTAACTTTAACCTGTTTGTCCTTTCATCTGATAATCCCTTCCTCGCGCAGTAATCAATAAATTCATCTATAGGCATTCTACACCACACAATCTTTATTTGCTTCCACTTCAAGAAGAAATCATAGAGTTCTAAACGTCGGCTTTAGCCGAAAAAAAAACTCTTTATATATATATATACTTTCATAAAATGTACTAACTTTAACTTGTTTGTTCCTTCCTCGGATAATACACTTTCTCGCGCAGTAATCAGTAAATTCATCCATAAGCATTCTACTCCACACAATCTTTTTTTACTTCCACTTCAAGAAGCTATCATAGAGTTCTAAACGTCGATTTTAGCCGAAAAAAAAGCTCTGTGTTTTACTATCATAAAATGTACTAACTTTAGCTTGTTTGTTCCTTCCTCGGATAACCCCTTCCTCGCGCAGTAATCAGTAAATTCATCCATTAGCATTCTACTCCACACAATCTTTTTTCACTTCCACTTCAAGAAGCTATCATAGAGTTCTAAACGTCGATTTTAGCCGAAAAAGAGCTCTGTGTTTTACTATCATAAAATGTACTAACTTTAGCTTGTTTGTTCCTTCCTCGGATAATCCCTTTCTCACACAGTAATCTGTCAGTTCATCCATAGGCATACTACACCAAATAACCTTTATTTACTTCCACTTTAAAGGGAAAAATAAAAGGGGGTAAACATATTTATCGTATAATACTCAATTGAATTTAAAATTAATATTCAGAGCTGAAAACTTTAGAATGAGATATCCTTAATCCCGATTACTTAATCCAATGAACACTTTTGGTTTTTCATTTTAAACCGTTCTTTCTTAGAAATAGTAGAGAAAAATCAAAAACGGTTTTTTTAAAATTAGAATGTCCCTCCCATTTCTTTTTATTTATATTAATTTTCGACATTTACATGTTTATAATATCTACCTTGATAATATCTTAATGATAAGTTTTAAATTTAATTGAATTGAATTATCTACAATCTGAGTGGAATATTGCAACTTAGTGAATTTGTATGGGTCCTACGTTCTTCGGTATTCGACGTTAGTCTATAACCCTTTTCAATTTTCGCGAACACTCCCTTTAAGAAGCAATCATAGAGAATTTGAAACGTCGACTATGGCCGAAAATAGTTTGACCTACTGTGCAGAATTATATAATTGAGCTTGACAGTTTTCTATGATTTTATTAAAATTCAAAAACCTTTAGAAATGAAAAATATCAATTTCAGAATATTATGATAAGTTGTTAGGTTTTAACTAACGTTAATAAATCTAAGAGTAGATAACTAAATTGGTGGACCGTCCCGTTCTGCCGTGTGCTGTACAATTATGTACATACTAGCACGACGTTGTTTATAAATCAGTACGGTACTTCAAATGTCCGGGAATTTTTAATGAACCAGGCAAACTTTCATTTTTACCATTTTTTTTTCAAAATTGAGTTGATGAATGAAAAAATTTAAAAGATTATTTTCCTGACAACTTTTTCTATATCTTCAGGAGGAATTCCCAGGTCCATAGCCATCTGAACATCCCTAAACATAAAACATCTGAACATCTCTAAATATTATCCATCTAAACTATCCATCTGAACATCCCTAAACATAATGCATCTGAACATCCCTAAACATAATACATCTGAGCATCCCTAAACATAATACATTTGAACACCCCTAAACATAATACATCTGAGCATCCCTAAACATATTACATCTGAACATCCCTAAACATAATACATCTGAACATCCCTAAACATAAAACATCTGAACATCTCTAAATATTATCCATCTAAAGTATCCATCTGAACATCCCTAAACATTATCCATCTGAACATCCCTATACAGTATACATCTGAACATCCCTAAATAGTATATATCTGAATACACCAAAAACATCCCTAAACATTATACATCTGAATATCCCTAAACATTATACATCTGAACATCTCTAAACAGTATATGGCTGAATATACATAAACATTATGCTTCTGAACTATCTATCTGAACATTCCGTAATATAATAGATCTGAACATCCCTAAACATCCATCTGAACATCCCTGAACAATATCTTTCTGAATATCCCTAAACATTATACATCTGAACATTATTGAACAATGAACATATCCATCTAAATATCCCTAAACATTTGTTTATTTGACAATTAAATAGTAGTAAAAAATTTCTTAAAGTTAAATTTTTTTTAAATGCTTACCTTTTTGATATATTACCAATCCGCCTACTTTCACTGAAGGACCTTTAAAAAATGTGTTTTTTTTTTGTTCGAAACCTTAACATTTTGTCATCAAACTTTTAAAATTAATTTATAACGAACATTTTGTTTGAAATAACGAAAAGAATGTTGTGAATATTTCTTAATTTCAGGATGCTTTCGGGAGATTGAAACTTTTAAAACTTTTAATTTTTAATGCATTAAAGATTTTCAGATAATCCAACTCTTAAAAACTAATTTCTTGTTTTAAAATTTAAAAAACTAAAAACCTATTTTATTTTTTTAAATGCTTATCCAACCTGTCTCGGCCCAAAGAAGACTCATCTAGCCTAGTTGGTCCTCTTCTATAAATAACAAAATTAAAATAAATATTATTACTAACATTTCTAAAATTGCAAACAAGGTTTGCCTAGGGCATGTAGTGGCCAACTGGCTAACCATCGCGTTCTACTTGGGCATGTAGTGGCCAACTGGCTAACCATCGCGTTCTACTTGGGCATGTAGTGGCCAACTGGCTAACCATCGCGTTCTACTTCCCCGGAGTGAAATAGTTGGAATAAACCGCCCATAGTTTTAGTCTTTTAGAAAACATTTGACATTTAATAAGTTCAGTATTTCCTTTCTTTATTCCTTCAGAGTGAAAAAAATTGTGAACCAATGCATTTTGCAATTTATCGTGAGTGTGAAGATAAATTAAAAAAATTGCCAATATAGCATGGTGCGTTGGGCGGACAAGACAAGAATTTTACGTATTATGATTATGTCTTACTGACTTACAAAGAAAAATAACAAAAATTTAAAATTAAAAAAAATATTAATTGCAAAATGTGTCTTACTCTCTGAAATCTGAAATTGTGGAATCAGCCGCAGAAAACTGAAAACAAAATATTTTTAACAAGGTCATAAAATAAGTGATTGATAAAACTGTGGAAAAGGAAGACGATATCAATCAAACTTGTAATGTGTGCATTTGATGATGCTCTAATGCAAATAGTTTTACTTGTGGATCGAGAAAAAAACTTCCGAAATAGGGTTGTACTACATATAGTAGCGTATTCAGGGGGGGGGGGGTTAATTATCTGTTGCCCCCTCCCCGTCTTAAGATCCTGAATCGCATAAATTGACTCTAACAGTCGTCTTTCTTGTTTAAAGTTTGATGTGTTCCACTGTATATATAAAATGTTGTGAATAATTACGCTGTAGAATTTACTTACCAAAGCAGCAGCCTGAAATCCAGCTGAATATATGCCAGCAAAGGTGGATAGTCGAGACTCTAAACAAACAAAAAGAAAATTAAAAAAAAAACTATTTTTGTCGCCATTTTTATTTTGATCTGAAAGTACAAGTTTCTAACCTGGATCCATTCTCTCACTGCTTCCATTAGAATCATCCTCTCCTGGACAAAACAAAATATATTATTTTTAAATGAAAATAAACTGTTTTTGCAGAAAAAAACACTTAAAAATGTAAATATTTTGAACCTTATTTTAACTAAAACTTACCGTGGCTGGATACAGTCTCCACATCCAAATCCTAAAGTATAGAAAATATTTGGACAAATTCGAGAAAATATTTTTTTGGATCATGGATTGTTTTAAAGAAGTTATTGACCAGAGGTCGGATTAATTGAAGAACAAGAACTATAGTTGATCAAGGTGAGGCTAGTTAAACAACAATATTGTACACTATCGCCCAGCGAAACTTAATTAAAGGGGACTGTAAGCGTACTTTCAAGTGACCTTTCATTTAAAGAGCGCCATCCCCTATTCACAACAGCACCCTTTAAACTTTGGATTGAACAAAGATAACGGACTTTTTCTATTTTATCCAAAAATAACGCTCGCAATTTTTCAATCCTAATTGTTATGTTTTATATTTGAGAAACATCGATTTTTATTTCCTAAAATCGCAGGAAATAAACATTACTTTCGAATTATTGCAAACCGCTATGAACGTAAAATATTCGGTATTTTTGTAAGAGTCAACTGAGTTGAGTTCACACTGTACACTTTTTATTCATGGGAATCCGAACAATACTTGAGAGATATAAACAGGGAAATCTCTGTCCTCGATGAACAGTTAAAGGGTTAAAGAGTACCATTGTAATCTTTGCATGGAGGGTTCACTTGAACTTATGATTACAGTTCCTTTTATACGTAATTCAACTGTTCATTCTTAGATAAACGAACATAAATGTTCTTACTCAATAAAGTTCAAAATTCTGAATTAAAAGCTACTAGTCGTTAATAAATTTCAAAAATTGTGAAAAATAGGTAAATATGTAATTACACGATATGAGAACATTCAAATTTTTGTTTTGAAATAAATCCTCTAGATTAAAAATAATAAAATAAATATATCAAATATTAAATAAAATTAACTAATAAAAAGTATAAAACATTTACCCCTTGGTCCTCCTCTTTAATTTCTTCTTTAATCCGTAAATTTAACTGAAAAATGAAGCCAAAATTAAAATATTAAATATTTTTTAAATTTTTTTACTTAATACAGAAAGTCAAAATTTATTGTTTTAAATCAGAAAATAAAAACTTAATTTAATTTTGAATTAATGCTACAACATTGTGACCTATTAACTCTTTTAGGTTTTATTTGACACCAAAAAGTTAGAAATTTAACTGGTCTAAGTCAAAAGTAAAAAAAAAACTTTTCTGTTCTACAAAAAAGTAGGTATTGTTTCATTACATTTCAGATTTCAAACTAAAAAGAAAAAAATTCAGTTTAATGTGCCATTGCGTGAATAATTATGAAATTCACTCACCTGAACCCTAGCTTCAGTGTGAGGTGGTGAATGTGATCTAGGTGGTGACCCTTGGCGTGGTAAGCAGGCGGCTGCTGAGCCGGTCAAAAGGCTCAGGTTGCGGGCCAACGGTAAGCTTCTAAACAACATCTCTTTAGAGGAGCTGTCTATATTTAATTCCAAGAAAACCAAAAAACTGTTTTGGCTTGATTCACAGCGGTATCCGTTAGTCCTGTTTCGCATTAACATAATTCCGCAAGTCACTTTTGATAGAGAATCATAATTTAAAAAATCAAAATTTTAGAAAAACATAGGTAACTAAACCATGTTAGGTCTAACAAAAGTTCAAGGTGTACCATTGTGAATCTTTAGTAGCCCTAGTTATAAGCATTTAAAATCAAAAACAACATGTTTTAAGCATAAGTTTTAATTCTCATCGATTTTAGTGTGGGCGTTTGGATCATTGTGCATTTTAGAAATATAAAGCACTTCTTTTTAGCTTTTGTTTTTAAGAAGTAAATAGCAAAATTCTCATCGATTTTTGAGTGATAGTTTGCAGTTTGCACCTTTAGATCATCCCGCATAGAACAAGCGACGCTGTTTTAGAGTCTGAAAACGACCCGCACGACCC